GCAAAGGCCGCGCTGGAATTCGAGGAAGAGTCCGAGGATGACTTCCAGGAGCCGTGGGGTCCTTTTAAGGGCTTTTTTAATCTGGGTGTAGGGCTTTGGGGTTTACAGTCTAGGGCTTTTTGAATCTGGGTGTAGGGCTTAGGGGTTTACTGTCTAGGGCTTTTTTTTTCTGGGTGTAGGGCTTAGGGGGGTTGGAATTAAGCGCTTTCTAATCTGGGAGTAGGATTTAGAGGCTTTGGGCTTACGGCTTCTTACAATTTGGGTGTAGGGTTTAGGGTGCGGCTTAGGGTTCTGTAATGGGATTACCCACCAGGGTACTATAGGGCTCTGTAGTCGGGTATAGGGCTCCATAATAGGGTTCCCTTCAAGATTTTGGTTTCCCTTCAGGTTCCCATAAAATAGCTCCAAGGAACCCTCTTATAGTACCCCTTAAAGGGGCCCGAAGCAACCTTATCATTGTAGTACCCCTTCAAGGGCTAAGGAACCTTGAAGTGTTGTTGGAGTCATAAAAAAACATTGCTATCATAAGGGTTGAGGGTTTAATTCGGGTTTCGGGGTTTAGAGGTTTTAAGGTTCCAACAAGGGCTACGACAATCATTGCTATGCGGGTTCGATTGTGATTGCTAAAGTGGTTACGGGTTAAGGTTCCCGGAAAGTTGCTCTACTGATTGCTACTATCCATGTTTGTTCTCGTAGGGCACCACGAGGCTATCATATATATATATATATGCATACGCATATAAATACATAAATAAATAAGCAAATAAATAAGTAAGCAAGTAAGTAAGTAAATATAAATATATATATATATATATAATCTCTTGTAGATGATGAAGCTTTAAGCTCACTTAGCCCTAAGCCCTAGGGAAAAGCGCCTCGAAAGAAGAAGCAGCACCTTGAACCCTGAGCCTAGGGGCCTAGAGCCTCGAAGTTGCGAAGATGGAGGTCCTCAGAGAGCTTCCAACCTTAGGGTTTAGGGTGTAGGGTTTAGGGTTTGGGGTTTGGGGTTTGGGGTTTTAGGGTTTAGAGTTTAGGGTTTTGGTTTAGGGTTTAGGGTTCAGGGTTTTGAGTTTTCCCGTCTAGCGCGAAGAGCGGCCCTTCTTGCGAAGCATCCTTTCCAGGATGCCGAGGAGGAAGAGGACCAGGGGGCTAGGGTTTAGGGTTCAGGGTTTGGTTTAGGGTTTTGGTTTAGGGTTTAGGGTTTGGGGGTTGAGGGTTTAGGGTTTGTAATTAGGGTTTAGGGTTTATGGTTTAGAGTTTAGGGTTTGGGTTTCGAGTTGATAAGCTCCTTCTGAGCCCCACCGCAGTGGAAGTCTGAGATCCTTTTCTTCATTCGGGCGACAGCTGAGCTAACATGCGTTCGCAAGCCAAACCAGACGAGAACATGTTATGGTGGGAACTTCGATAGCTGGTGGTCTCGCCTGACAGCTTTCTTTTAGAAGCCACCTTTGCTGATTTTCGGACTGCAACCGGCGATAACAAGAACAGAACCTTGTTCATGCTAAGACGAGAGTATTGTTTTGGATTATTTTTGTCTCTGGATGATCATGCCGACGGCCTATCGCCTGGCTTCAACAGAAGGACTCACAGAACCGCCCAAAAAAGCACGAGAACAGCTTGTGCTTCAGGACCTTAAACCCTAAACCCTAAACCCTAAACCCCAAAACCCTAAACCCCAAACCCTAAACCCCAAAACCCTAAACCCTATTTCAGGAGTTTTGGGATGTGGGCATGGAAGAGTCTATGCCTACGCCTATGCTGGAAGAGGAGAGAGGCAAAGGGTTGCCGCTATGCCAACTGCAGACATCGCAGGGATGCGTGGGAGGTTAGGGTTTAGGGTTTAGGGTTTAGGGATTAGGGTTTTGGGTTTAGGGTTTAGGGTTTGGGGTTTAGGGTTTAGGGTTCAGGGATTAGTTTTTAGGGTTTAGGGCTTAGGGTGCCAGGCCTCCCCAGGTCTTTCAAGCCAGTCCTTTCAGCATGTGCTCGACACTTCCCAGCATCGATAAGCAAAGGCCCAACTTGGGGAAGCCCCGCGTGGAGCTCTCATCGTTGCCGGGCCATGAAAACTCCCTACTACGAGGAAAGCTGCAAAACCCCTAAACCCTGTTATCAACCCTAAACCTAAGCCCTTGTTCCTTCAAGCCCTGACCCACCCACCAAACGTACCCTAAACCCTAGGATGTAGGGCCTGAGGGTTTAAGGGTTGAGGGTACCCCAAACAACAATCCTAAACCCAACAACAAATCGAGAACTCCCACCAACCACCCCGAGATATATCGAACCAGGCGCATCCGTCTCTGAGTGATGGGCCCGAGGGCCTGCGTCCCGATCACAGGAAAAGAGCCCTTAGAGGAGCATTTAGAGGACCCGAGTAAGGGTCACCATCAAGGTGACAAGCAGGGTGGAAGGGGTTACTACCGCGATGTTGTAAGATTCTATGGGTGACTTCTAGTCTTGAAGGGCATGTCACGGCATAGCTGCATCTAAGGGTTTTTGATGGAATGATGGAAGGAACCTGTGTCGTCTCTATGTTAGAATTGGGTCGATTCTCAACGTTTCTGGCTACGGGAGGGGTCAGACAGTAGCAGGACAGGCAGAGAATGCGGAGGACTCTAATTCCAGTGGAACAGACTTGGGGCCTGGGCCTTCTGATCCCCTTCTTATGAAGGCTTCACAAGGATCCCCTGTTGGACCTGCCTACTTTCCTGTGTTCGAGTGGAACAGAGAGATAGATTCGCCGCCTGCTTCCTACGGCCCTCATCGACATGAGTGGGATGTCTCAGCCAGACTGTTGGGTGTGCCAAGAGACGGGTGGCCCGAACTCAAGAGCCTGAGCACTAGACAGCATGTTGAGAAGAGTTTTTGACAGATATAGTGATACGTAACAGAGCAACAGCAACAAGATACGGAGCCTACCGGCAACTGCTTGAAGGCTACCGCGGCTACCAAGAATTGCTTGAAGTAATCGTCGTGTCCGATCGCGACTTGTTAGTCTGGTAGTGCTTCAAGAGATTCGTCAGTGCTTCTGAGAGTGCGGCACACTCATCACCTGACATAAACGAAAAGTTCATGGTAAATACCATCGTATTCTGTAGCCGTAGCAGAGCTACATTCGTCGTCGTCGTCGTAGTAGTAGTAGTAGTAGTAGTAGTAGTAGGAGTAGTAGGGGTAGTAGCAGAAGTAGCAGTGGCAGTGGCGGTAGCAGTAGCCGTAGCAGGAGCGTAGCAGTAGCAGAACTAGTAGCAGTAGTAGTAGTAGTAGCAGCAGTAGTAGTAGTAAGTAGTAAGTAGTAAGTAGTAAGTAGTAAGTAGTAAGTAGTAAGTAGTAAGTAGTAAGTAATAAGTAGTAAGTAGTAAGTAGCAAGTAGTAAGTAGCAAGTAGTGAGTAGTGGGGAAGAAGTAAGTAGCAAGTAATTAGTAATCAAGCAATAAGCAGTGAAGTAAAGTAGTAATTCTTGAGCCTCTGCTAAGCGCCTAACTGCACATTGCAGACTCCAACTTTCAATCAATTGGTAAGGGACTAAATTTTTCCCTCAAATATAGGGGGTTTTCTTTAACGGCAAAACCAGGATCTCCGGAGAAAAGACCTTTAAATTAAGGGGGCAATTGATTGGCCCCAGACCCTCTAGACTCTAAATCGTCAACTAAAGCCTCAACTCTGATGCATGTTTTCGCATACTACTTCAACTTCGCCTCGCTGGGAGCTCGCCCAAGGCTCCTGGCATTAGTTCCGGAGCCTCTCGGCTACGTAAGCCGAGTCCCTTGGACTGCGGACCTGGATTGCGAGTTGCGGATTGTTTGAAAACGATGCTCATGAATTGTCAGCATTGCTGTCACTGTTCTGCACTCATTTACCGTAGAAACATTCTTTTTTGTCAGGATGAAGAAGAAGATGACGATGATTACTACTTGGTGGTGGTGGTGGTGGTGGTGTAGCAGTAGCAGAAGCAGGGGCAGCAACAAAGCTATTGCCGTGTTCAGCATAGCACTAGGTTGTCAACACGATTTCATGTGCATCATGTGGCATGTTTTCAGAGGAGCACAGTTGCCTTATTGCGGACAGCGTAGAAGCTTTGCTGCCCACTGTTTCTGCACCAGCTTAGCAGTGAGGCATTCACCCAGATCATGGGCAACACGGTTTGCGACGACTTGCTAGGCCCGCAGAGCCACGAACGGAACGCGGAGAGCTGTTGCATGGGTCAACACGCTTGGGGTTTCGGTTCTCACAGTTGGCAAGGCCAGTGGTCAGCTGAAGCTCACAGAGCGGAGGTACCCCGCTTCCTGAAGATGCTGAAGGCCGGCATTCAAGCCTTGTTTTCTGGCACCGCTTGTCCGCTGAGCTGCCTGCGATGAGGCCTGGCGAGACAAAGAAAGCTCGCCACCATGCAAGCGACAGGCAGTTGCAGATCGCCAGCTTCGGACCTTTCTGACGCCTGCTGCCCGTGAAGAAACATTGGCCCGCTCGGGTTTTGAGCAGAGCGCAGGTGTTGATCGTGGCTGGCGATGTGCATGAAGGCATCGTGCCGGATAATGCGCGGGCACGGGGTCTCGAGTCGAAAGTGCGAAAAGACCAAGACACGCGAGTGTTGCTAAAGTGGCGAAGTCTCGGAAAGGGCAGTGCCAACGACGCACGCTGCTGCTAATTACTCTATGTCCGGGGTTTCCATTCTCTTCACACATGCACACTCATCAAAATTATCGTTCTCTTCGCCCACAAGCAGAAAGAACGATACCGTGCAAGTATGTGAAGGCGTGAAGATGATGGGCAACTGCCGAACATAAAGAGGTTTTTTGCTGGCCATTCTCTTCACACATTCACACTCTTCAAAATTATCGTTCTCTTCACCCACAGACAGAAAGAACGATTCCGGCAAAGTATGTGAAGAGCTTGAGAGAATGGGAGGGTGACCGCTAGAATTACCGGCTACTGTCATTTTTCCCGTGAAGACATGAAGTGTTCTTCGGGAGAGCAAGAGCAGGGCGAGACAAGCAAAATACCCGATGATCCGATCATTCTGCCATGCCTCTCATCCTGGTCTTGACAGATTTGCAGGTGGTTGGACGGATCTGGTTCTTCACGACGTGGAAGGACTCTGGGATTCCATGGCTCAGTACCTTGTTGTATCTCTTCCCATCTTGGCACTTCCATGAAAGCCTGCGATGACCCTTCCGAACTGACGGTGCCATCTTTTGAGCTCTGGCTGGGTCTGTGGCTGTTGTTCAAGGCGAAGGACGCATTCGGCAGCTGACAACCTCGGCCATTGCCAACAAGCAGACGAGGCCTCATCAGGCTTTGGCAGCGTCCCTGCTGCAGCCAGCTTTGCGAGACTGCTATACAGCCGACATGCAGTGAAGGACACATGCAGAGTACAGCTGCACAGTTTGTGCATATTTCCAGGGCATCATGTTGCTAAAGATTCTTAAACCTGCTGAACATTCAAGGTGGCGCTGACCCGTGGTTTCCTGTCGTCCTTGGATGTCTCCGATGCCGCCTTAGAAGGGGTTCGCAATCGTGCCTCTCTTCCATCACCCATGTCCGCGGCATCTGCGAGCTGCCTTGCGCAAACAGACACCTGAGGAAACCGAGACTGCAAAAGTTCAGACTTCTACCTACGCCCCGTGCACTTGCAAACCTCACTGAGAAGTGCGGTTCTTTCCAAGGAGACGGGTTCCGGCTGGACTAGCCGCCACTACGACTGGACCAATCTGAACAACTACGCCTTTGTCAGCGCCGGCATGGCCGTGGCAGGGACGCTGAAGGCAATTTGCCACAACACGCGTTAGAGGCATCTGTTAGCTTCAGACTGAATCACTGCGGCAGGTGAAGGTCCTGAAAGCTCAGGGCTTGAAGAACCAGGACTCTTTCGGCCTGCTGTAATTAAAGTCTTAGATCATCGAATGATGCTCGTGCTGGAAGCCCAAAGTCCCTAAATATGCCACGATATGGTCCGATGATGTTGTCGGACTGACCGGTTGCTGCCCGTGCGATGCTTCTGCCAGAGTACGGCTTTGGCGGCGACCATAAAATATGAGGACTTTCAGGAAGGTGAGTCCTTGTAGCAGGATCGTGCAGTGTAGGGATTAGGATGGGTTTAGGCCGTCGCCTCCAACATTTTCTGAACCTCCACTGCTGTCTTATCCAGGATATGTTATCCTGGCTGGACCCCTACGTCACGTTGACCGTGGGCTCGCAAACCTTCCAGACACATTCGGACAGTGCCTTGCCATGCTTTGCAGCGTGGTATTCTTTGCATCATTAGTGGCTTTTGCAGTTGTCACTGGTTACAGAGGCAACAAGGCTCACATTGACTCAGCTTTGTGTGATGTGCCCCCATGACCGGTAGCCACAATTGTCAGTAGATAGCATAGAGCTTTTCTCATGTGAAAGGCTGCTTCGGGCTTGGAATTGATAAGTCCCACAGTCGGCTTTGGCTCCTGACGTACTCTTGGATCCGAAAGTTTGCTGTGCAAGTACCAAGGGCCAAGGGATCACATCTGTGGCATAGCAAGACATCCACAAGTGAAGTTGGGCCTCCGTAGTCGCTACTAGAGGGCAGCAGGGTTTTTCTTCCATGGGATGCTTTGAAGCAGGTGATGATCAGCGAGATCGAAGCAGCCCGGAATGGAACTCCGAGGACTCTCATGGCTGGCCCGGGAAGCTCTTGAGCAAAGTTGCGGTGAGGGCTTCCTTCTTCGATGTGTACACAACAACCAAGAACAAGCTAATTCATTTCTCTGCGTGTACTAGGACAAAGAAGTTTCGCGACAGTGCAATCAGTAGGTATCCAGCCATGTCGAGCCCAAAGGCTGAGCATGGTTGAGCATATCCTCACCACACAAGACCTTGATCGCCGCATGCCATCGTGACCGGGCAACGCCATATCGACATCAGCAAGGAGGCGAGGACACCACCGAAAAAATCCCGAGCAATAGCTGGCACTCCCTAGCCGCCTCGCCTGACTCGACTACCACCGGCTGACCAACTACGATGGCTTGTGTCTTAGTTGGCCTAGCTGCAGCATGCCTCAACACCAAAGGAGCTGTGAAAAACATCTCCACAAAATCGCTCACGTCAGACTCAGAGGCGACAGCCCTCCTCCGCAGCAGCTGGTGCACCCGTCAACCCGTGTACCTCAGACCCGGTGGCGACAAGCTCCTCCGCGGCAGCCGGCGCACCGTGCACTTCCAGGCCTTTCCGCGCGACATCGAAGAACACCTACGATTCCTGTGGTCGAATCCCGATGTCAACAAGTATAGCAACAGGTGCAGAGAGCTTCGCAGTCTGCTTGAAAAGCACATGGATGAGGTCACAATGAAACGACGCACTTGGACCTGCGAGCAGTAATGAGCAGTACGTCGAAGCTCTGTGAGCGCTTGCATGATGACTCTTTCTTTTGTAATGTAAAGCTACTCACGAGGAGGAGATTGCCAGGGAGACGCGCACCGCGTGGAAACTGGACTCGGCACAGGGAGACAACGGTTTTTTCGAGAGTTTGGGCGGCAAGATCTGGGGAACTCCTCTACCACGACAGAATCAAACCAAGCTGGGCCAACATCTCGGGTAAAGTCATGCACCCGCAGGTCTTCTTCGACTGCACGAAGATGCACCTTGGAGCCATGGCACTTTTTCACACAAGGTGCCGCTTGCCTAGGGAACTGCTTAGCTGGCCAAGGGCACAGCCAAGGCCTCTTGTAAGGCTTTAAGGCGACCGCCAGCAAGTCGAGCGCTGCTACGCCAGCTGATAAGGCGAAGCAGCAGCAGCAGCAGCTCGTTTTCTTCCCGAAGTGGAAATGGGAGTGAACGAATTCATGTCTTCCATGCACGTTGCATACCTCTCACGTGTGTCATGAACAGCTTTTCTGGCAACTGCCTATGCTTCACAAAGCTGCCCAAAACCAGAAACAATCGCGCGCTGTTTCAGCAAGGGCTTTTCTATGCAAGTGCAGGCGCATCTTTGATGGTTTCACTCCCTTGCTTGAGTTGTGTGTTTGAATGTGGACCTCATTGCGAGGACTTCCAGTTCACTGTGGGGCCCAGTGACTACTACTGCAAGCTGACCCCTGGCCGCGAGAGCTTTGATGGAAGTTCTGAAGTTCTGAAGGAGCCTTCGAGACCTTTCAAGATTGCGTGTGACGGTTGAGGATTTGACAGCGCGTGCATGTGTTAAGTTGCCCAGCAAGCCATTGTCTCATCGATTTTCCAAGTTGCCTGTGGCCATGCAAAGAGTCGCTTCGTATCATGCAGCGATATGCTTGCTAGCATGCGGAACGTGTTGAGACGATTGCAGTTTTGACGAAGTTGAGGCAAGTTTGCGATGAGGACAGTTTGATGGGCGCCTCAGCAGGAATGCTAAAAGCCAACATGCGCTAGCTTCCGTCGTTTTAGCAAATTGAGCGTTTTGTTTGGTGAGGTCAAGACCTGGGGTCTGTGAAGTTGGCAATTCACGAGCTGGACACCTGCACGCAGACCTTGGTCGAAACTTGGTTTCAGCAACGACAGTCCAGATATGGCATGGGTGGAATCATGAAGACCGGGAAAGATCCGGCCCAAAAGAGTGCGAACACGAGTCGTGCGGAGCCAGCTGCAGTCTGCCAGCTCGCGATTAATTTGAAGAAGAAACCGCAGACGTAAGGGGATTCCTGGGCGTGGTTGCATCTCATGTGCTGCAGATATCTGCAGATGCTGCAGTCTATATCGACGGACAGTTTTTTCCCCTTCACATGCCCCACTTGCAAAGGAAAGCCTTGGCATGAACAGGGGCACCCTGGAGGCTCGGCGTCGCTGGATTTGTGACGAAAAGGGCCTGGGAACCTGTATACGGAAGTTTGCTGCTGAAGTCTTGCTGCTGTCTACCCCTGTTGCAGATTCAAGCCTCCTTTGTGCCGGCTTCCGGCAGTCGCCTCCTGTCTTCACTGGATTTCACTTTCAGCTGAGGGGTGGTCCACACGCAGGTTTGAAATGCAATCTGAAGGAAAAGTCTACAAAGACCACTCCGTACTCCGGAGCCAAGCTTGAAAGCCCATCGATCCTGTTTGTCAGATACAGGTCCTGTGCAGAAAGCGTCCATGGATGCTGCAACTAATCGAATGTCGCAGGTGTCCAGCATTGTCCAATGAGCTTGCGAAATCGCCCTCGAAAGCCGCATCAGTTTCCGAACTTCTGTAGTTGCGGCGGCGCTCAGGCGAGGGCCCTCATGCAGAGGAGCACGTCTTTTGGGGGATGGGCATCAAGTGGTGCACTGTATTCCTGACTTCACTTGCGAATGCCATTTCCATGCGTGATTCTGTCAACTGCAGGACAACATCTCTGGATATCCTGCCAGCAATGTGGCAGCGCCGCCACAGGCGGAAGATGTCGCCCCTGTTGGGTCCTGTGGGGTCCTGTGCTGTCTCGTTCTCCGCAGGTGATCTTCACCGCGCAGCTGGTGGCTGCACAGCAAGGGTGCCTGTTGCAAGCAGTTGAGAGTGGCGGCAGTCTGCTCACATGTTGGGCCTGCACCAGTAGCTGCAAAGCCTTAATTGATTCTTCCAATTTCCTGCATTTCTGCAGCTTGCGGAGACGACACATACACGCAAGCCTCTGGGCGCAGGCTCTTTGCCTGCGTAAGCTGCACAGGGTTCATGCCAGGTATGATGTGGCCAAGACGAAGAAGCGCTCCACCAGCGACCCCGTGTTCAGCACCGGCAAGAACTTCCAAAATCAAACCATGGAGCTGCAGCTTTGTAAGCTCTGCTGAAGTTTTCAGAGATATCTGCATTCATTGCATCGACGAAGGAGCTTGTGAGCCACAGCTTCCTGGCTGTGTCGGAGGCCTGGTCCGGGGGTTCATTTTTTTTTCTCGCTCTCTCTCTGTCTCTTTTTTCTCGAAACAGGCATTGGTCGCAGTTAGTCTTGTCAGAGAGATGGGGAACTTGCTTATGTTATTTTCGGAAGGGGGGTCCTGTGGTTGGGTTGGCTACATTTCCCAGCACGTCGGAGGCTGTCCAAAAATGTCGCTGCATTTGCCGCAAATGATTGGTGCGACCTCGCTGCAGATAATGCATTGGACGCCCTTGCATGAGTGCATGGCAACCTATTCAACTAGTGTAGCCTAATACAACAGGCTCCAAGGCTCTATGCCTTCATGTCGCCCGGCAGCGCAGCACAGAGCTAGAGCAGAAAGAGCAGCAGGCATTGACACACGTGAGCTCGTATTCAAGCATGGTGTGTCATGTCCCCGCCTTTCAGTTGACATTGCTAAGAGCGGAGCGCTTTGTATATTCTAGTGAGCTGAGGAAAGCAGCACTGCAGGCAATGCCTGGCAGCCGCAACTCCCGCAAATGTCCGGCAGCCGTAGTGAGTTTAGCTCTCTCTCAGTGCTGTCACGACTTCCTGGACCGGCTGGCCCAGGACACCCAGGAAACACGACGTAGGAAGTTCTCTATAGGCACATTGACATGTTCATACATGCTGAACATTTGTGCAGAGTTGACATGGACTCGTCGACTGGACATGCATGTTGAATGTTGTCTGAATGCATTATACCTTTGCGCAGGTGCAGGATGCAATATAAGTTTCAAGTACGCGTACGTGGTTAGTTGTATGTTTTCGAAGTCTGAAGACAGGCATGCAATCATACTCTGCGTGTGGGCGGGTTTCCTCATCGTAAGTGTGCATATTAATAGACACACGCATACGGATTCGGTGAAGATGTAATGGTACGGTTCACATGGAGTGGTCAAGGTGTCTCTCTGAGCCCTCATTGCTCAGCGAACTGACTGCGAAGCTTCGACAAATCCAGAGACGGCATGATTCCTCCTCTCGCTCTCTCTTGCACTCTCGCTCTCCTGTCTGTCTGCCTGTCTCTCAACTCTCACTCTCTCTCTCTCTCTCACTCTCTCTCTCAAGGCCTAATTATAAGTACTCGTACCCCGAAGACTAGGCTAGCGTCAAAAGAGAACCCTGCCTTACAAACACTACAGAGTTTCGATCGGGGGGAGGCCACCCCTGTTGGATATTAGGGGGAACAGCGGGAATGGATTACACACTACACCATAGCATGCATGTGCTTACACACGCACCAAGCAACCTGGACAGCCGACCGGGATGTAGATCCGCGTTGATCAATTTTCTCAGTACTGCGCGTTCATGGCAGCCTCTCCTCCGCTTGTGTGCATTCGACCGATTGGCCGGATGCACACATGAGGCTTTTTATACCCCTTCGTGCCTAGTGGGCTCGAATCGGTTGATCACTCGCTAGGTTCTGCCCTCCCAGTGCCCCAGAATTGGGCGCTGAACCTTCCTGGCGGCGAGGGCTCAAAAGCAGGAGTCGTGTGACAGATCTCCCATGCCTGGCTTAGTAGAGAAGAAGCCTACTCATCATGGCAGGGACGGTGATGAAGTTCCTGACAAAAAGTGGTTGCTGAGATAAGCTACAGGCATGCTTTCTGCGTGGATAGCTGCTGGACAGTGCTTGGAGCAAACAACCCCGCCATCCGAACTTGTAGAGAATGGTGTTCGTAACTTGCAAGGATTGGTGTGTGCAGCCGGCCCTTCAGCATTCGGCTACGCTTTGATGCTCGAGAGGCCTTCAGGGTCTTTGGTGCTCAAGAGGATGCTTGTGCCTCGAATTTCGGCTCAAGCCAGCTTGAGCCTTGAGCCAGCGCCAATGACATTCAATCTGGAGCAGTCAGATTGATTTGTTTCAACTAAGTCTATTGATGCTACTGCTCACGTGCAAGCCTTGCGAACTGTGATCGACTGCGCATACGAAAACGCCGTTAGGCATCTTTCCAAGTCTCCGAGGCTGTGTTCCGAGCCAATAAAATACAAGCAGCAAAGCCTACAGTCCCACAGTGCCTTCAGAAGCGCTGACCCGCATGGTGATCTTGCTGCGACAGGGGCGCTAGGCAGGAATTGCATTGCCCCTTTCGGGTACATTGCAGCCAACTCCCAGAAAACCAAGCCAGTCTTACTTTCCATTCATTGGTTGGGAAATGCTGTAGCAGTGCAACCAGCACCACAGCCGAAGAAACATGACATAGCAGTTCTGAGCTAAAGCGCCTTGAGTGGATGCGCTGCGCACATCTGGACGGCAGTCTAAGGGTCTACTTTGTCACGCATTCCTGGTACCAAGTGCCTGAAGCATCATGTTCTGACTGCTTAATCCGCTCGCAAGCATTGCAGAGCAATGTAGGGGCCTTAATAATTAGAATAGGGTTTGGGGTATATTATACTACAATTATCATAAGGAGCCCCCAAAACCCTATTCTAATTATTAAGGCCCCTACATCAGGCACAAGTTTGTCTCACCAACTTCTGGCGCTGTCACGACTTCGACCTTGCCGGCCACGGAGCCCCCCGCCACTGAGCCCAGATGATGACGGCAGGTCTGTAGTAATTTTGCCAAAAAGGTTCAGCGAAGTTATTTGCGACATTTCGTTGCCATGACTTCAGTTCGGCTCCTAAGGATCAAGATCGAAGTCTGACCTATGGTCAGAGACATGAGTCATGATATCATGATGCGCTGATGAACCCTGAGCCTTGGCCTTCAAGAAATTCCTAGGAGTCGCTGATATGGAAGCGCAGGGTCGTCCACAGGCAGCCCGGTCGCAGAAGCCACAAGTGCTCGAGTTTCGTAGATTTAGGGGCACCTCGTTGAATTAGGGGTCCTCCAGACATCCATCCTGCAGTGGGGTCTATATTGGGGTATCATATGTCCTGTAACTCACGAGTATGACATGCAAGGACATCTGGCATTCAGAGTTCGAGGGCTCCTGAAGCCTGCACACCTAGTGGCGCTCCGCGTATGATGAGATATCTGAAGCATAGTCCGTAATTATGTGCACATCAACCTGCAGGTAACCTTTTCATGCCAAGTGTAAGTGTACGTATACATGTACGTATACGTATATGTACAGTTTTGCATACACCTGTACGCATACATGTATATATGCTGCACGCATATGAGTCAGATGGTTTCGTAAGTATGTACATGCACCTGCATCCGTGTGCAAACACACTTGCGCACATACTTGTACGTTCCCACATGCTCACAAAGTCTACACACAGATACATAGGTAAATGCACGCATACAAGCATGAACATATATATATATGTACACACATACATTACAGTATCATTCCGATACAGTACATTGCATTGGCATGCCTGCATACGGCTTGGAAAATATACCTGAGCAGGTCATTGCGGTACTTACACCAGTATACATATTACACAGCAGACTCTACACATGCACACATGTATGCGTGTGTACCTCTTTATTCATCTGTGTGTCTATCTCTCTCTCTCCCTCTCTCTGTTAGTGTGGAGAGGTCGGACAGCGTGTCACTTTGGCCTCAAAAGGTTTGCCCTGCTCTGTTAGTGTGGAGTGGTTGGATAGCAAGCTACTTTCGCCTCCAATTGTTTGCTCGCCCCACCCTCGCCCCTATGAGCCTCAGAATTTTGGCACACACACACAAGTGTCTGCGTTTGAGCTTGAAATTTACCTGCAGGACGACCTGCGGCTACGGCTTCTGCAGGAGGACGTGTCGCCCAGCGACCAGGACGTCACTGCTCCGTTGCAAATCCCCGGCAGAGCTTCTTGAGTCTAGGCAACCGTGCACGTTTCAGTCGCTTGCAGCTCTGGCTGTAGCAGGTCCGGGATTTAGTCTTGCAAGATAGCGTAGGAGGCATTGTGAGGCGGCAAGGCTTCTGCTGAAAAGGATGCCGCACCGACGTCGCTCTCACGGCGAGAAAAGGCAGCGACACGATTCTGGAGGCTTGATGGGTCCGGAAGCAAGTCTCGTGCGGCAAATCGCAAAATATG